TTTTTTTCTATATTCACTTAGTGTCTTTTGCATGCTCAGGTTTGCAATTTTTAATGCATACTTGCAGCAAACACATCAGAGAGCAACAAGACCATGACGAATACGAGGTGTGAAGTGCCTACTTTTTCCAGGCTGACCTGCAGTGCAGCAAGATCAAAACATCTCAGCATTTCCGAATGATGCAAGTGCAATGCACATCATGTGACCATTCTGCTTCACCCTTTGCAAGCATGTATACACAAATTTCAGACATAAAGTAAGTCTAAAAAATTGCATCAGAAAAGCTATGGAACAGGAAAAAAGTTTAACAGTTTACATTTTCATAAAATGTGTTCTCTAAAATAGGTTCTTTGAACTATGCAGACAGAACTTTAGTTCTTTAAACCTTCTGTTGTCCAGGCAGAGCACCTGGATCTGTTAGTGAAATTCTCTGAGTTTTTATTTATTTATTCATCCACTCATTTATTTATTTATCACTCCCAATTCTGCAATGCACCCTGCAGAAAGACAGGTAAAGTTGGTTTTATATTCATACATTTTTGAACAGTGACAACCTGTGACAAGATCTCTACATAGTTTATTACACTACTTTGAATATAGTCTGAAATCGCATTTAAATAGGACTTCAAAACAACATTAGCTGTTTAGTTGACTGAACAATGTTGTACTTAAGTCACTGGCTGATAATATCATTTAACTGTTTCAAATTTGTAGAAAATACTTTTCTGAAAATACATTATTAAGGAGAAAGTCCAAATGCACGAATATAAAACCAACTTTCCCCCAATCCTGCAGAAGGGGACATGCACATGTTGTGGAATAAACCTTTTTACGGTTTCTTTTTTCTACAAGTATTACCACGGTTTCTTTAATGTTTACATGCTAATGTATAATAGTAAAGTATAATTCAGTTGTTTACTATTTATTAAACAATTCTACAAATAAATAATTACATTTAATTATCTTTTTTTTTTCAAATAGTTTAAAAGAAATATGGTACCAAACTTTACTGGTTTTTGCAATGACCATGGTTAAGTTCAATTGAGTAAATCAGCAGGACCCCTGAACAATTATTCTACTCTGGTGCAAACAGTATATGCTCTAATTGCATTTGTTTCTAATAAACAGCTGTCCAAGCTTTGCAATAACATTATTCTATGAGCATATCTATCATGATAATACAGATTCCCACAACATAGTGGTAACTAGCTCAAACGGCTACCATAAAATGGGTCAGAAGCTCTGAGTAACATTCTCGGTCCCAGGCATGAGGCTACACCAAAGGAATCTTCAGTTAAAACACTAACATATTGCTTCCAATCGTGGCAGGAGAAAGATCATAAAAAGGCCAATGTGCATTAAGAACATAGTCCAGGCCCGTTCTCTGCCTCCTCCCATCGCGGTTCTCGAGTCCAGCCATTTTGATGGCAAGAAAAGAAAAAAGCTACATCAAAGGGAAGCTGCTGCACAAATTCGAAAGGATAATTAAGAATCGCTATAAAGGAACTGGCAAGGGAAATCAGCCAAGGCTTTGCATATCTAACAGGCATAATCAGAGTGGATAAAAATACCACCAAGTCATTCTGTTTTGCTTCGGGTGCGCAGGTCAAAGGCATCTTTCTTCTTTTCCAAGTAAATCCCCATTGAAGCTGGCCAAGAGACGAGGAATACACAGCCAAAGTCCACTGAACCACAAGCTTTAGAAACAAACTGCTCTTCAGCGTTCTCAAAACATCCAAGCATTATACTCACAGCAGACGTCATTAGACTCAGAAGCGACTAACAAAAGCCGGAGCAGTAGAGGTGATGTCTTGTGCAAAGAGCAAGAAAGAATGTTTTCCTACCATGCTATAAATCTGTAATAACAGGACGACTTTCAAACTAAAACCCTTTAACAGCTAATACTGAAAAGAAGCAGCCACAGCCACAAAAAAATGAAAGGTTTATCGAGTGCAAAGCAATAATGCCTACTCATGCACATGACTTAATTGGTTTGGCTCCATCTGTTCAGACAAGCCTGGTTGGGAAAATATTCTAAGTGGTTAGGAGGGGCGTTTATGCCTCCAGAGACGCCATAATGCACCTATAGGAGTGGTAAGGGGAAACGCCACTTTTAAAATCCCAAATGAAGAAGCTCACAAAAACTTCCTCATTCAGGACATACATAAAAGTTTCATTTTCCTTTTAAACCCATTCCTCAAAAAAGGCATTTGCCAGGTGACATTGCATCCATTATCTAAGTTATTACCACAAAAAAAAAGAAAAAATAGAAATAAAAAGTCAAGGAATGCTTTGAGTTTCAGCTAGACACCTTTTTCGCTCCAGCATCATACAAATCTGCAATAGTCACATCGCAGGATCTGCAATATTGAGCTGGGTTTGCAATTTAACCAGAAAACATGGTTAGGGTTGTGCAATTGATCGAAATCAAATAGAAAAATCTCAATTTGAAGTGTTGCAATTAGATAATCCCAAGAGGCTGCAATATAATAATAAAAAAAAAAAAAAAAAATATATATATATATATATATATATATATATATATATATATATATATATCCAAACCACGATATACCTTAAAAATTGTTATAGTCCCATACCTTGTGTGCTGCTTCAGAAGCATTAATATCAAAGAAAAACAGCATTTGTATTATTTAAATATTTTGGTTTCAAAGTCACAAACAATGAACAAAAACAGGTCAATTTTAAGAGCTGTCGCAAATTTTTTGCCATCGTCTACAGATTATTGAGCTGAAGCTTGGCAGCAAAATTAAATCGTTAATCAAATTGCCATCGCAATATCAGTCAAAAAAAAAAAAATTTTTTTTTAAAATAAATCGCAATTAGATATTTTCCCCAAATTGCTCAGCCCTACTGCATGTGACTATGCAAGATTTTAAGCGAATTTAAATCATTTGGGCATGATAAAATGTGTAGCTTTAACAAAGAATAATAGGATTTAATTATTTCTACAATTAAATCTATAGTCAACATTAGAAGTGGATCTGTTTTTCAAATTTGTCCTGAGACAAGAATGGATGTTGTGGAAGTGTTATTTTACATTTGATCTTTTAATTTCTTTTTTTCTCCTATCTACAAAAATCAACTCATTCTAATATAAACCATCAGTTTAACAATTATATCTTCAACACTCTGTTACAATTTCATTGGGTGGATTATGGTTTTATGCCAACTCTTATCAGCCAATATGTGCAGCACAACTACAGTGCCCAGCATATTTGAGTACACCCCTCGCAAATCTGTCTTTTACATTTATATTTTTAAAAAGAAGCTTTACATTATTATATTTGTGCATATACATTAGATTAGTCAGCACTAAAGCCAAATCTGGACCTTATTTAACTAAATAACTTATGATAACAGTCCAAAAACTAGTACACCCAAACTTATGTTATAGAAAAATATTAAATAGAATTTAAAAAAAGAGAAACAATCAAAAGCAAAAAAAAAAAGTAAGTTGAGAGAAAAAGAGTTGAAATTTTGTAGGTTGTAATTTTTTTTGCAATATTTTGCATGAATTTAATTGTATTTTCTAAATATGTTTGGTGACTAAAATATTACTTTAATAAATACATCTGTTAAATAAATCTGTTTTGTTTAAATGCACCAAAATACATTGCCTATATTCAGAAATGGAGAAAAAATATTCATTTTCAAAATGGGGTGTACTTATTTATGCTGAGCCCTGTAGGGGAAACGAACACAAAAGACTTTAAATTCAAAAAGGCAAAAAGAAAAATGAATTATGGCACACAAAAAACAAGCAAAAGTGAAACTATACAGATGATTGACACATTCCTGTAGGCGAAAGACTTGCCATTTATTGTCCGTGAACGTCAAACAAAAAGAGAAAAAAAAGAAAAGTAAAAGAGAAGTGAGGGTTGCAATGTCACTGACACAGCTTTGATTATATACATTAAAAATTAGGGTTTGTATTGGGAACTTTCATTTACAAGTACCTTTAACATACATCAAGCCCTTCAATGGAACAAAAGGTCTTAAATGATTAAAATGTTCGTCAGAATAAAATAAATTTTTAAAAAAATATTTTAAAAGCTGTTCACTTCAAGGTTTTTGAGGAACCCAAATATGGTTCTTTTATGACATTACTGTGAAAAATACTAAATCTAATCTTTATTTTTCTGAAAACTGACAGAGTATGTAATGTTTTCCTTTCCATTTGGAAATAACTATATATTTAAGAAAAACATGAAACAACCTTGAAAAATAAAAACACCACCTAGACTAAGAAAGTACAATAAACAGAATGCATTGTGTCATTTGTTAAGTTACCAAGACAATTCAGTTTCACTTTAACTTCAAATGAATAATTACCACGTTGTCAAATAAGTAACAACTCAATTAACACTTTGGTTGTTTTAAAATCTAGTGAACAGAAACCATATGCATCATTCTTGACATAAACCAGTTTAAATTATTTTTGAAAGCTGTCTATGTAGGCAGCTTACTAGTTTCCAAGAAAGCCAAATGCGTTACACTTTCGATATGTATAGGTTTTTATGCAGTAAGTTAACCCAAGGCATTTTTGCATCACGTCTGCAGTAGTGATCAAAAGTTTTGCTTGTCTAAAAACAAACAGGAGGGTGGGAAAGTGGCCCACTTGCTTGTGACTGAGAGGAATCAGGAATGTGGAGGTTGGCAGCTAACACTGACTGCATCTGAAGCGAAAATAAACACACAGCCTACATTAAACTGCCGTAAGACCGCTGTGAAATGGTAAGGTCAGATCATGACAGTTTAGCTCAGGTAGTTGACGGTACTGTGCCCAGCGTCGCAGGCGAACTCCTCCTTAGTAGATTTGCTGCCAGGCTAGCTCGCACCAAAGCTGTCACGGAATGCTAACAAGTTAGCCGGTTAGCGACATGTATTTAAAAGCGCCCGGCATAACCGTGTCAAATAAAACTAAGCTGACGACTGAACCGACATAATGCGGACTTAAAATTAAAGTCGCGTCTCACCTTCTCCGATCAAATGTCGGCCATTCCTCTGCACAGCGACTCGCTTTGGCCTCCTCCTTCCCCAGCTGTGCTCTGCTCCTCCGCCGTTGCTATTTTTCCAGCTCTCTGCCCAACCGGAAGTGCACGCGCGCGGTCTCCAGGGGCCGCGCTCTGTCTCTCGGGTTTCTTGACGTGCTGTTGAGGAAGCCGTACCGTAGATGATATAGAGATCAGAGGTAAGACTCGCCCCCTTTCCCTTCGACTTTTCGGTACAAGGGTCATGGAGTGTGTATGTTTAAGGATGTTAGCTTTGTTGCAATAATTTCAATGAAGGGTGTCCGGTTTTCGTTTCCGCGAATACCCACTGTACCGGATTGGGAGGCAGTTATGAAGTCGTTAAAGGACAACGACAAACGTTTATAGAAGAAGATACAAGATAAGACAGCAGTAATAATAATAATAATAATAATAATAATAATAATAATAATAATAATATAATAATAATAATAATAATACTAATAATAATAATGAATTTTATAAATATAATAATTTCTAGATAGATAGATAGATAGATAGATAGATAGATAGATAGATAGATAGATAGATAGATAGATAGATAGGTAGATAGATAGATTCATTCATTCATTTTCTTTTCGGCTTAGTCTCTATTAATCTGGGGTTGCCACAGCAGAATGAACCGCCAACTTATCCAGTATATGTTTTAAACAGGGGATGCAACCCATCACTGGGAAACATCTATGCACACTCATTCACTCATAAGAATATATATTATTATTTTGTAATATTATTGATAAATTATTGTAATTGTAAATACTTTTTGATGCCAAAACTTAATAATTTACAAATTTAATAATTGTGTAAAAATATTGTTGTAATATATATTTATATTTCATATCATATAATACATATTTTACATAGTCCTTGTCAAATATATAATCTTATAATCAATAACTTTTATAAATATAACAACTAAAAATAATCATAAAACAAAAAAAGGTGTATGAATGAATACATTCTGAAAACATTATAAAACTTTTTACATTTCTATTTGAAAGTTATGAAATCAACATTATAGCTACATTATGGATCAGAAGGAAAATTAATATGATTTGCTTTAGAAAACCATAACATAAATTTGAAACTGTAAATTTAATGTTTGCTAGACCAGCTGTAGTCCAACACACACTACAATATAAAGATAAAACATTAAGTCAATGCTGAATTCTAGAAACATAGACAAAAGATAGGAACATGTTTTGTCTGGTTAACTTAATATTTTAATTTTCTAATTTCTAAACCCTGTTCAAAATCATATCATGACTTTTCTTTAAACTCAGAATGAAGTTATAATAATAAATCTGCATCTTTACCTGGTCAATTTCAAGCTGTTTCACTACTAATCCAACAGCAGAGGGCGCAACAGGCTAATCTAAGTAAAAGAGCAGAGGTTCTCTCATGTTACCCAGTTTATTGGCAGAAAGTAGCATATCTGTCTCTACAGATTGAATAATTATTTAAGTAACGCATTATATAACTCTTAAACATTTTAAATGTGTCATCTGCAGCACTGGATGATCAAAAATTCAACTGATTGAGCCTTTCTTTCAGCCATGGAGTCAAACGTTGGTAAGTTCCACAACACATTCTTAATTCTCGTTTCAAAAGCTTTAAAAATAAATTGTAAAATTTCTATACTATACATGTAACTAAAAGAGTTTTTTAAATATCATTTTAATAATCACAAAGACATCAAAACAACAAAGGGTAGAATAATAAACCATGCACAAACTAAAATGTACAAACATTAGCCTATAATGCCTAGCCTATTTGTACATCCAAGTCATTTCATAATTATTCTGTGCAGCAATCCCTTTGAGTCATTTACATCTTTCGTGTAAAGGGCCACAAATGAACTAGCAAGTGCCACAAAGTCTGTCTGCAACTCAACAGATGTTTTCTGTTGCGTTTGTTTGCTGGAATTAATTTAAGCTAACTTACAAATACAGCTTTTGAATGAGAATTTGGTACATTCTACAGTCAAATAAAATGTACAATTTGGATATTGGACTAAATTACTGTCATATGCAGAGTTTTTGAAACACACAGTTACACCTATCCAAGCATAGGTTAGCTGTAAATTATATTAATATTTACATGTGTCATTTGAGTAATATGATCATATCAGTGACAGTCACATCATTGAGTTGGCCTTTTCTGTTTCCTCTAAGATATGATGTTCCTTTTCAGTGTTCACGTTATATTAAATAAAAAACAGGATTTTAAATACATAGTAAATGCAAGAGTCAAATAACTTGTGTGAATATAAATGTAAAAATATGGGTGATTTGGTCACATCGTCATCATCAGTGTAACAGATATCTACTAAACAGTTGAAGTCATAATTATTAGCCCCCCTGAATTATTAGTGCCCTGTTTATTTTTTTCCCCAATAATGGAGGGAAGATTTTTTTCAACACATTTCTAAACCTAATAGTTTTAAAAACCCATTTTCTAATAACTGATTTATTTTATCTTTGCCATGATGACAGTAAGTAATATTTCACTAAATATTTTTCAAGACACTTCTATGCAACTTAAAGTGACATTTAAAGGCTTAACTAGGTTAATTAGGTTAACTGGTCAGGTTAGGGTAATTAGGCAAGATATTGTATGTCAATGGTTTGTTCTGTAGACAATAAAAAAAAAAGTGCTTAAGTGCTAATAATTTTGTCCCAAAAATGTTTTTAAAAAATTAAAAACTGCTTTTATTCCAGCAGAAATAAAACAAATAAGACTTTCTCTAAAAGAAAATAACATATTAGACATACTGTGAAAATTTCCTTGCTTTGTTAAACATCATTTGGGAAATATTTAAAAAAGAAAACAAATTCAAAGGGGGGCTAATAATTCTGACTTCAACTGTATATGTAAAGATGAAACCAAATACTTTTTTTGATGTCTACTTATTAAATATGTAAAAGTATAAGTGATCCTAACATAGTTCTTCAATTTTAAATGACTAAAAGCCCTTTGCTTGTAAAATCTGTGTAAACATAGTGCTTTGAAGGACAGTAATACAAAGTTTTATAGTACAATAACAAATAGTTAGTATTTCCAGGCAACACTGTGATCCTTAAATAGAGTTTTTAAAAATGTTATTATTTTTAATTTATCTATTTTAATGTTTTTTTTTTTCCATTCTAGAGGCTGTCCTCTGGAAAGCATAGTAAAATGTATGATTTACATTATAATTTTTGCTCAGAAAAAAATAGGCATACACTCATACAAATTTTTAATCTTTGACCCAGAAAAACAACACAATTTTAAAATAATTATAAAAATAAATGTTCTATACAAAATCATTTGACAGACAGATATAAAATAGTCAAACATATAAAAAAAAACAGTATTCAGTATTCAAAAAAAAAAAACTACATAAAATCTCTAAAACACACTCACATAGCTTTTTTTTTTTTAATATGATTTATTTATTTTATTTTTTTTTTCAGAAAATATTCCACTCCAACCAAGAAAGAATGCTCTCCACAATGAGCTTTTTTCATCATCTCATTTGAAGGACAGCTTGGCCTCAGAAGCGAATATCTGACCTAATCTGAGTGCAGGTGGGTGACCGGTGTAAGAAGCAAAATCGCTTTGTCATCGCACGTGCTCCTGAGCGCGGCCCATGTTAAACAAGTCTCTCCTCTATTCTCTGACAGTAAGATAATTCATCTATTTTTCCTCTCATTTGTCTCTCTCTCTCTCTCTCTCTCTCTTTTTTTTTCTCCCTTTAAAGAGCCACACACACATATACATATATAAAAACACACACAACAACACAAGAGAATAATCAGCCACAGGTATGAGGCGATTAGAAATGGTTTTGTTGACCTCAAGGGCCGATGGTGATATTGATAACATTTTCAAACAGTCTTGCTCATCAAAGGGTTTCCTGTTAAAGTTGTAATCTTCCTTGAAATAGGGCTTTGTTAGCTATCGCGGCATTCACTTGACCGAGAATTCCTGGGCTGTAAGCTAATGGGGATGATTTTGAGCGGGGTCGGTGCAGGGGATCAGAGCTGGGGACCCGAGCGGGGTGGCCCTGGAGCTCAGAAGTGGCTCGCGGCGATTTGTAGCCCAGGTGACTTTGCAAATTCCCCTCCTGCTTAAGACGGGCCTCGCTGGATGATCATTTTCTAGTCTTTCCCAAGCCTGCATATCAGGGATCAAAAACAAAGAAATGGAGTATGTGATTAAAATGCCGAAACCACTAGTGTTTAAAAGCTTTAGGCTTTCGAAGGAAATTAATACTTTTATTCAGCAGGGAGGCATTAAATTGATAAATAGCGACAGTCGAGATTTAAAATAATACAAAAGGTTTCTAAATTAATGGTCTTTTTGAACTTTTGTCAAAAAATACAATATAATAAAGTTTGCAACAGAGTGTTTGGTGGAATTCTGTTTGTACTACTGGATAAAATAATAAATAAAATAAAAAACTTCCAATTTTGCAATCCTGACTTTATCCACTTGTAGTTGTAGGTTTAGATCTCCCAGAAAAGTGTTATATCAACTCAGATTTGTGAGGAGGAAAAGTCAGAATTGCACATTATTTCTTGCTCTGATCTACAAGAAAAAAGTCTTTAAATCTTAAATTGCACCTTTACTTTTTTTTTAGTTATTTATGTTTCACAATTCTGAGTTTCGTTAGCTCAGTGGGTAGCACTGTCAACTCACAGCAAAAAAATTGCTCGTTCAAGGCACGGCTGGGTCAGTTGGCATTTCTGTGTGAAGTTTGCTTGTTCTTTCCCGGCTCAAGTGGGTTCCTCCTGGTGCTACGGTTTACCCCGCAGTCCAAAGACATGCAGGTGAATTGAATAAACTAAACTGGCTGTAGTGTGCATGCGAGAGTTTATGGATGTTTTCCAGTATTGGGTTACAGCTGAAAGGGCATCCGCTGTGTAAAACATATGCTGGATAAGTTGGCTATTGATTCCGCTGTGGCGACCCCTAATAAAAAAAAAGGGACCAAGCTGATGGAAAATGAATGAATTCAAAGTTTTCTGTCTCAGAATTATGAGATACAAGAAATATG